AATGAAGATAGTACCCTTCAGGTACACTCACTCTCAACTACTTCAGCATATTTTTACATATATACTTTCACAGATGCATGCACACTCACACTTAAACATATTCATTTGTACATTTATAACCAGGGATACACACACTTATCCCTATATATAGTCATACACATTTCCCTTTGAGGTTACATGTCCAAGCATATTCCAACTAGCACACACAAATAAATACACATGTCTGTGTGCACATTTTCACAATCCCACAACACACACATATGCATCACACTGCGCAGACACATAGATGCTGCAGTACCCACCCATGCACACTCACAAGCACCCATGTCCAGACGAGCTGGGTGGTTCCCTGTAGGCTCTGCCAGAGAGGCCACCCTAGGCCAGGCGCCCCGTCCCGCCTTTTCCTCATGCATTCCTGCTCCACCTCCAAATGGTGACCTTTGTCTGGCTGCCTAGACTCCAAGAAAGTCCCTGGGAAGTTCAGCTGAAGGACAGGTAGCCTCCGCCCTCCCAGGGTCTGGAATGGATCGAGGCCCCTGCTGCTTTGCTGGCTGCCTATCTCTGCTCTCAGGTCTGGTGACGAAGGCCAGGCCCGGGAAGCAGACAGCAGAATGTAGGGCCTCCAGCTGTTACAGAGCTGCTAGGTGCTCCTGCTGCTCCTGCAGAGCCGGTGCAGCCGGAAGGCTTCTGACTCTGGGACTGTGTCCACATTACCTGGGACCCCTGGGGCATGGCAGCTCTTCTGGTGGCTGGAGAGGCAGAGCCCTGGCCGGGAAATCTGGGGCCTGATATAGCCGCCCAGTGACATTTCCTTTCTGCTCTAATTCCCTGGACCCAAACCTTTCTGATCCTGCTTCCTTGTTGGTAAAATGGGGGTCGCATTTCCTGCCTCGGGGGTTGCTGTGAGGTCTCTAGGAGAAGGTGTGTGCAAAAGCACGCTGCACCCTGCCTGGCACACTAGTGTCGATGTGCGCTTGTCGCTGTGGTGCGCGGAGTGACAAGGAAGGGGCTTGAATGGGAAGGTGGCCCAGATGGTTTGGTGCATGGGATCCAGGGGAGAGAGAGCCAAAGGGAGCAGAGCCCTCGGCCACTGCTCGGGGCACCCACTCCGTGCTCTGTGACCTTGCTCCAGCCGTGCCGCCGTTCTAGTCATCAGATTCCCTTTCCGTAGAACAAGGAACTGGCTTAGACCGTGTAAGGCTTTTGCCAGTTATGAGATTTTAATTTTTTTCTCCTCCTAAATCATCTACAAAGCAAATTAAATACATGAAGGTAATTAAGAACCCAGTGGGGGAAAAATCATGGTACTGTGGGGTGTGCAAGCTGGAAAAGGGCAGCTCCTATTTTTGGGGTTGAGGTTAAAAAGTAGGGAGAAACCAGTCAGCTGTAGGCCACTCCCAAGACAGCTCCTCATCTCCAACCCTTCATTTCCTGCCTAAAGGTAATTGCTCCCCCCGCCCCCACCCCAGGGCCTCCCGTCTGCACTCCACTGGCTGGTTGTCTCTGTTACCACTGTTTACTGTTCCCCCCTGAGGTGTGCTGAGCTTAGTGAGATGAGACTGGGTCTCCACCTTGGGTAGGACTTAGGTTATTGCAAAAGTGTGCTTCCTGGGTGGGTGGGCCCCCAGCTCCCCGAGTCTGCTCTTCCGTGTTCCAGTGGCATGATGCAGAGTGAACGCTTGTCTGTGGTTTAACCCCTGCTCCGTCACTCACTGCTCTGGGACGGGATATCTCCAAATCCCAGGTTCCTCGGCTGCATTATGGAGAACGTAGGGTCTGCCACCTCTACTTTACGGAGCAAGACCGAGCGTTTGGTGAAGGAATCCAGTGAGAGAGTGAGGGTGAGATGTGCTGGAGATTCTCAGTGTGTTTCATAGTGACGGCTGACGTTCACTGTGTGCGCACTTCGTGTCAGGTCCTGCCCTTGGCACTTTCTCTGCAGCAGGCCACGTGGTGGATGCTACTGGTGCCCCATTTTACAGATGAGGAAGCTGAGTTAGGTCACCACCCTGCCCAGGTGGCAGAGCTGAGCCTCAGGCTTTGTCTGGGCATGGAAAGGTGTCTCAGTTGCTACTCTCAGCAGGAAGCCAAATGCAGCAGGAGTGGAGTCTGGACCGGTAGACAGAGACCTGGGGGAGGGGCAAACTAAGAAAAGCCTGTGCTGAGAGCTCACAGCCAATCAGTGGTAGCTTTGAGGCTTCAGTGTCCACAGTCTCTATTGTCATCATCCTCATCTTCCCCCTCAAAACACGTAGAGCATTTCCAAAGCATTTACTGTGATAGACACTGTCCTGCACATAATGACTTGATGAGGTCAGTGTGTTCATCACTGCTGGGACTCTACAGATGAGGAAACTGAGGCATAAAGGCATGAAGCAAATCAGGTCCTCACATTTAGTGAGCCCAGGTCTATGTGAATTCAGAGCCCGGGCTTTTAATTGTTGCACAAAATAAGGGCAAACTGCTGTTTTTTCCAGAATCGTGTCAAGGAAATAGATCTGTGTGGTGATTTCAGGGAACCAGGTGGGTGTGGTGGGGGAGCCCAGATATGTACACCTGTCCTCAGGTAGCCAAGTTCTTTACCTGCTGGTCCATGATAGGGTTTGATAACTATTCACCATTTTGGAAGAACGGAGGGGCCAACACTCATTGCACAAAGACTGTGAGGATTACAAATGTCAGTGCACCTCTGATTTGGGAGGGAGAAGAAAAGCAAGGGCCCATTAGGAGCTTTTACAAGTTCTCCATTCAAAGTGCGGAAAAACGTGCTGGGTTGACCCGGATGCCCAATGGAAAGCAGCCATGTTCATCCCTAGTCGACAGGTGGGGTGGGCTCCATTTGGAGATAAGGGGCCTCATTTTGGGGGAGTTTGATCCATTTCCCTTTGGATGTGGGTAGGGTCTACTCGGCTCTATCCAGACATAGACGTCAGTGTGGTGATTACTGAGGGTAAGCGGGGAGGGGGGGGAGTCAGAGGAGGGTGAAGCGGAGAGAAATGGCGATGCAAGCAGACTTACTTGGGGTGGTGAGCGCACAATCTACTATACAGATGATGTATTATAGAACTGTACACCTGAAACCTGTATAGTTTTATTAACCAATGTTGACCCAATAAATTCAAGAGCAAAAAAAAAGGCCTCTTTGAAAAAAAAAAGGATTTTGGGCCATTTGCCCTGTGACCTACAGAGCTCAGTGACTTTTGCCAGTCACTGAAAGATTTGATGCCATCTAATGCTTGGGACAACATGAGGGTTTGAATTGACAGGCAAGATACCTGATTTGGTTGACTTATTTTTAAAAGTTATGGAGTACCTGTTATTAAATCACTGCACTAGCTGTCTGAGGTTATCACAGGAAACGAGGCGAGGTTCTCCACCACAACACACTTGTAGTGAGAGAGGAGGGACGACCGAGCAGATTGTGATGGTGGAAGTGCTACTACGGAATTGTAAAGAGTGTCATGAGAACAGGAGGAGGGGACCCATCCTAGTCTTGGGTCAGGCCATATGTGGACTCATACATACAGGCACACACGTGTTAGAGTGTGAAGTCTTCCTGTGGAGGTAATCTGAGGCAGAAATTTAGAGGAGAAGAGGACAGGGCAAGGGGAGGAAGACTGCACTGGGTGTGGACAGGGTCCACAGAAGCTGTAAATGGGAGAGAACCACCACCTGCGTGGGGAACTGGAAACCACTGCCTTCGTCCTGAGTAGGCGGTGAGAGAGGTGAGAAGACGCCAGGATCAGGAAGGGCCTTCTCAGCTTTGCAAAGGAATTTGGGCTTAATGCTGAAGGTGAGGGGGAGTCCTGGGGCAGAGGGGCGGGGCTTGTTAGAGCAAGGGCGTGGCATGGTTTGTTTGTCTTTTTGAAAGGCCATTCTTGCTCTGGCTGGCGTAGCTCAGTGGATTGAGTACAGGCCAGTGAACTAAAGTGTTGCTGGTTTGATTCTCACTCAGGGCACATGCATGGGTTGCAGGCCAGGTCCCTGGTGGGGGTGCACGAGAGGCAACTACACACTGATTTTTCTTCTCTCTTTCTTTCCTTTCCCCTTTCTCTAAAAATAAATAAATAATTTTTCTAAAGAGAAAGGCCTTTTTTTTGTAAGAAAGAATGGATGGGAGTGGGGAGGACAGGATGAAAGCTGAGAACCCTTTCGGTATGTGAACGAGCCATGTTGGGAGCCAGAACGAGACTGGGGGCGGGGCAGTGTCCAGAACGGATGGTGTGGAGGACTCCAAGGACGTGACGTCTGCAGACTCGGCGACTGGCTGCCGCTCACTCTGCTCATCAAGAGAGGCCTTAGTTATTTTCTCACAGGTCACTCCCTTCCGAACAAGCACAACTCATTATTTTTGTGTCCAAGGACTGAGAAAAATACTTTAAGTATTTTTACTAATTCAATACTTTGAAGTATCATTGTATTTATTTATAATTACTAATATAATATTTTTCCTTTTGGAAATTTGAAAAATATGGAAATGCTGAAAGAAAAAAATAAATTTATCGGTTTATGATACAGGAATAATAGCTAGTCACATTTTAGTATTTTTTCTTTCAGCTTTTTTTGTGGTGTTATTGGTTTATTTTAAGCTTTTCACTATGGGACTTTTTAAATACATGCAGAAGTGGAGAGTAGAGTAGAATCAACTCGATATACCCCTTTCAGCCTCTGTGACCAGTCTCCTGATATTCCGCAGTGGAATGTGAACCTTACGATACAAGGAGGTCTTCATGTTTTTTTTTTCATCTAAACTTTAACCCACTGATAGGATTTTATGTTGGAATCCTGGGTGTTGGGCGTGTGTGGGCCCTGCTAGCTCTTTGGCCATTTTCAGATGAATGTCCTTGCCTAAAACATCCACGAGGACAGTAGAAATGTCCAATCGCCAGACCTGAAATAGACCCCCTACCTCCTCGGGGAAGACCAAAGCGGAGGGTAAGCATTTCAGGGAGAGAGACGTCCCCAGCAGGAAAGAGCAGCTTGCGTTTGGACTCACTCACCATAGTTGTCTCAGCAATGGAACCAAAGCTGTTGATGAAAATATTGCAGCTCACATTCACCGGGGGACCTGCCAATCAAGAGAGATCCCTGCTCAGCTCTGTAGTCATGAGGAACCCCACAGGATAGGACTCGTTCTTGGAACACTTCAGGGTTGGAGACTCCTTGGCAAGGAGGCCTCCGTTTGCCCTCCACCCCACCCCGAGCATCTGGGACCCCCAGCCACAACACTGTGCCAGACTCTCTGGTCCCCAAGTGAGCACCAGGTACAGAGCGCCGGAGTCTGAGCCGAGACGTACTCTCATTAACACGGGGTGATTCATCACTCTGCCATATGGTTGAAATCCCTTCCCCAAACCCATCAGCTGCCTTCTGATTTTCGGCTGGAAAGTGTTTACGGCTACATTTGGAGGCAATCTTGGGAATCACAAGGAACAGCAAGTTCCTTGCCTTGAACTCATGAACGAGGAATGATCTCTGAAAGGGTGTTGATGGGAATTACCAGCTGAGGAATCCAGAGGGGACCTCAAGGGAAGTCCAGAGTCTTTGCTAAATACTTCCCAGGCAGGCTTTTTGAATCCTACTGCAAAGGATAGGAGAAAAGTGGAAGAATTTTTGCTCTTTATTGGAATCATATTGCTAGAGGGACCTCTGTCCAATTGAAGCTAAATATCTTTATTTTATGCTGTTAATTATAGCAGTTAGAATTTATTGAGCATTATAGGATTTGCTGCTGGGTGGAGAGTTTTACTAACATGATCTCATTTCATCCAGCCTCAACATGGTTATTACAGATGAGGGAACAGGCTCAGAGAGGTTGTTTATCCTCAGCCACGTGGCTAGTGAGTAGACAAGCCAGAGTTTGAATTTGGATTCATCTAATTCCCAAGCTGGTGGTCTTAATGGCTGCACTTGTAGAAGAGGGTTCAGAGGAAGAATGTGGTGGCTCAAGGTCACACAGCGCTAAAATCCAGGGTTTTAAGCTGTGGGCTTTCATACGAGCTGACAAGAGGGCCAGCCTCAAATAATCAGAGTGGAGTGGGTAAGAGTGATACAAACAGTAGGAGCCCAGGTGCAAGTGAAGTTCAGGAGAGTGAGGTATTAGGGAAGACCTCATGAAGGTGATGACTTGAGGTGACCTTGACAGTGGGTCAGATTTGGATAATGGGTCATAATCCTATACATGAATATTGCAATGTGCAATTTGTGAATTTTTCAGGTCCACTTTCTTGTTGAGCCCCATCGAGGCTGAGGTAGGCAGGGCAACATTACTGTCCCTGCTGTACAGGTGGGGCACAGGAAGTCTTAGCAACGCCCCTGGGCTTATTTAGCCAGCAAGCTGTAGAGCCAGGACTTGGACCCAAGTTTTCTGATCGTGGAAAGAAGGAAGCAGATGTCCTTGTGTTCCATTACCAGATCCTCTGTGTCCCTCTTGAAAGAGTAGCCCAAGCATGTCACCCAAACTCAGCCAAGATTTCCTTCTTTTCAGAAATCTTGGTATATAGGGCAGGGCTCGGTCTTGTGGTGAGAACACAGGGTCCCTGGGTTTTAGACTCAGCTCCAGTGCTCACTGGCTATCTCCCCTCAGGCATGCCCCTTCCCTGTTCTGGGCCCCAATTTCCCTATCAGTCTGGGGGCGGGGTAGCTCTTGATCTGGGCACCCCTCTGAGCTCCAGTGGTTTGGAACTCCCTTAGGAAGCTATTCATTCAAATCACAAGGTTATAGGATTTCAGGGCTGGAGGGTTTCTTAAAGGTCACCTGAACTGATGCACAGACAGGGCTGTCTGCAGCAGAGTCACCTGGGGAACGAGTTAAAGTGCAGATTCCTCGGCCCAGCCCTAGAGCCGGTGGACCCAAATCTCTGGAGGTTAGCCCAGAATCTCTATTTTAACCAGCTCCCTGGTGATTCTCGTGCACAGGCAGGTTTAGGAACCACTGCTGTAGACCAGCCGCCATTCAAGCCCGGTGCCGGTGCCAGGGCAGCCCAGCCGAGGGGAACTTCCCGCAGTGTGCCGCCTGCCGTGCACACCCGTGTGTAGTGTGCACCCATGTTTTTGGTCCGAACTTTCAGGAAAGAAATCTTCTGTTTTAATTCAGTGATTTACTTATTTATATTTAGAAACAAAACCAGTTATATTTAACACCAGAGTGTTATTTTGTCTAAGGATATTGTTATTGCTTCAAGAGTTACACTTTTAACACATAAGCATAAGTAAAAGAATTAAGAACATTTATATCGATACAGAAGTAGTATTACCCATGTATAATGCGCATCCTTATTTTTTCCCTCAAAGATCTGGGCAAAGAAGTATGCATTATACATGGCAAAATATGGGCGTTTCATCTCAAGCGGATTTTTCCCGTGGTCCACAGCTTTGCCTGCTAAAGAATTTCCCTAATGCTGCATGGATACCCGCCTCCTCATCACTGCCACCTAAACAAAGGCCCATTAAGTTTTCTTCTCTCATTTAGATTCACACCCGGGTTTTTCTTTTCATTTAGCCTTTTCCTATTAAAATGCCCCAAAGAGTTACTGCCTGTGCCTTGAGTGATGTGCACAGAGCCCCCGCCCAGCCCCTGCAAGCATCTGGTGCTGTGACTCCCCTATAAATTAGGTCCTGATTTACGTGTGTGGGAGGGTGCCAGCCACAAGGACCCCTGGGGAGGTGAGCTTCATTGATATAAATCTGAAATTAAATTATCCTCAAGAAAATTACAATCTGGCTGCCTTTGGCAGCAGAATAATGTATATATTTCATTAAATATTAAAGTTTAATTTTGCTTTTTTGTGTGTGTGTTTGCATTGGGCTGTGCCCCTGATCCTGGGAACCATTATCCTACACAGAATCTTAGAGAAGATACAGAGAATCAGAGCTGGCAGGGCCTCGTCCTACTGGGTCATTGTACAGATGCAGGAGCAGAGGCCCAGAAGCGTCAAGAATTTACTCTGGGTCACATGTATCCGGTAAGTGGCCAAGTTCTAGCATCGAATTTTAGCGCCCTTGTACTCCCCGGTTACAGTGCGCACCGCCACTGCGTTCTGCAGACCCAGCCACCTGCTCCCAGCCACCTGCTCCCAGCCACTCTTAACTTACTTCCGCAGAGTCAGGAGCACCAGTGTCTGGTGCCTGAAGGAAACCACCGGTTAATCACTCTGGAGGTTCCAAACAGTGCAGGCCTCTTCCTGTCGTGTTGGGGTCACAGGGGCCTTATCATCGGGAGCCCTGTGGTTTGTGCGGGGCTTTGGGAAATCTTATCCGTGTCTGAGTGGAAGTGTGACGGGACGGTGTGTGTGGGGGGGCTCAGGGGATGGAGGCCCCTCCTCATGCCAGTGTTTCAGCAGATACGTTGTGTCCCAGCTCCTGGTGGGGTTCCAGGGAGCTGCGCCGCGCTCGGACCCTGACTCAGAGGGGCCGAGGGGTTTGAGACAGTGCAGGTTGAGGGAGGACTGAGATTTTCTGTTCTGTAGATGCGGGCCCCAGTGTTCGGCCCAAGGTGGTCAGAGTGGGCCCTGACTCAACGGTTTTACAGTCTGGGTGAAATGTTACTTTATTATTTTTGAAAGATTTTACTTATTTTTCAAGAGAGGGGAGGGGAGGGAAAAAGAGAGGGAGAAAAACATCAATATGTGGTTGCCTCTCTTGTGCACCCTGCACTGGGGACCTAGCTTGTAACCCAGGCTTGTGCCCCGACTGGGAATCAAACTGGTGACCCTTTGGTTTGCAGGCTGGCACTCAGTCCACTGAGGTGCACCAGCCAGGGCTGACATTTCATTTTTTTAAGTTGTTCACTACCAAGTCAGTCAGTCAATAAATAAATAAATAAATAAGCAAATAAACAAATAAATAAATGACCTGCATTAGATAAAGAATTGAGTCTCAGAGCGGCTGGCTGGGTTAAATAAAGTCCCAGCAGCCTTGACGGCGTGACCTGGGAGTCACCTAACGGCTCTAAGCCTTAGCATAGTTGTTGGTTCATTGACTGACGCATTCACTTATGAAAGATTTATCGAGGGCCTTTTATGTGCTATGTGCAAATGTATGCACAAAGGATAGCTAACATGTGACCCCTGGACGTTTGCACTTTCGACAGGAGTCCCTCCTTTGTCGGGGGAGAAGACCAGGGCACTCACGATGGAGTTCTGAGAGAGCCCACCAGGGGGCGCTGTGGGCTGGAATGCCTGACAGCTGGACGCAACCTGGTGTGGGGATGGGCTGGGGATGCAACCTGGTGGTCAGTTCTTTAATGTATTTGATTTAGCCAATGGTGTTTCTAAAAAGTGAGATTTAGCTGCTAACTTGAAAGATTTCACAAAACCCCAGAATCAAGTCTTACCTTGGAAGGCCTGCTGCTCAGCGCCTGTGTTTCTACTGGGCAGCTACTGCCTGAGCTGAGAGTGGCTGTCCTAGACTAGCCCTGTGCTTTTCCATTTTCTTTTCTCATCTTCATCCTGCCTCCTTCATGTGCCGTATCTGCCTGGTCCCTCTGAGGGTTTGATACTGTGATCCTGGTGAAGGGCTTGGGCTCAGTGTGCTGTGACAGCAACCTTGGACCTGACTTACCTGTTCTCAAGGGGACCAAAGTTTATTTATGCTAATGATGCTGGAAGGTGTGGCCTCAGGAGCATGGTGCTGGGGCAGCGAAGGAGCCCCGAGGTAAACAGGGGGGGAGGTGGGCCCAAAGGAACCTCAAGGCATCTCCCAGACTGTTTTCTATGTACAGAACACTCTGAGAATGGGGGCAAAGGGAGCAAATATTTGGAAGCTGTTACCAGCTGTCACATCCCTTGTTTGATTTTGGACTTGAGCCAAAAGGAACGGTGAGGAAGGGCATCTGGCATCAGGGTTGATTAGGAGGCTGACAGTGGGTCCTTGAGATGAGGCTTTTGCAGGGGTGCTGGGAGGAAGTCGAAGTGCACAGGCTCCCAGAAAGGCTGCGAGGCTGCACCCGCAGAGTCCTGCTCAGCAGTCTGAGATGGGCACAGCCTCCCCGAGCACCAGCGCACAGTGGGAACTGGTCCCTCTGGTTACAGATGTTGAGATCTCACAGGACCATGAGGACTGAAAGAAACCTCTCAGGTCACTTTGGTGAGGGTTTGTAAATGGACTCCCTACAAGGTATATTTGGCTCACAATTGTGCTCTGTTTGAACATACATATTTTAGGATCAAGGAATTTTGCATAAATATTGATTTCTGGCTCTTCATGGAATACTGTGAAGCACTGGGTGACCTGGCACGTGGGGCTTACATTCCTGTTGGGCAGCTGCGCGCTGGGGCTAAGGAGAGGCCGTGCCTTTTAGAGGGCCCGCCTTCTACTTCTCCACAGTCCTTACCACTCCCTATTGCCTTACTCCTGGTTCCCCTCACTCATTTACGTTATCTGCCTAGTTCCTGTATGCATTTGAAATTGTGGCTCTGATTTAGACTTGAACGTTTCCAAATTATTTGTTAATCTCTGGGAACTTTTCAGGAGATGAATTTTAGTTGAAAGCCTCTTAGCTATAACAAATAAAAGTGGAGCTGCTTGGGGGAGAGGCAAGAGTGAGCTTGCTTATTGTGCCCTCTGCCTCTCTTTTTTGGGGTACAGGGAGGGGGCCCTAGAGCATTTATGAAGTTTAAAGACCACGGGTAGAGCCGACATCATCCCTGCAGAGATGAGGAAACTGAGGCCCAGGAAGGGATCTCAACATCTGTAAGGAAGAGGGCTATCAAAGTTCAGAGAGTAAGTATGTGCTCTAACCAAAACTTGAACGCATTTCCTTACATTCCACATTGTCTATCTGTCCATCATACCAAAGGTAGCAAATAGCTTCTGGTTCATATACTGACTCCTGGCAACCAGAAGTATTGTTTGGTTGGGCTTGGTGGGGGAGCAGAATGAATTGATTAACAATGTCTGCCTAGGGCAGAGGAAAGAGTATGAAATTCCTACCACGTATTTACCATCTGTGTCCAATACCATGCTGCTTGCTTCTTAATCTAGGAAGGCAGGTGCCTGGGGACCTAGGAGGAACATTTTCTCTACCTTTAAAGTTGGGCCTGATCCTGGCATCGTATCCAGAGGTTCTCCCCATGAGCTTATCCAGGAAGTCCGAGGGAGACATAGGCTTGGGTGCAGAGCGGGCCGCTTCACCCTCCTTAGAAGCAGCAAGGCTGAGAAGGGAGAGAGGAAAGCAGAGGGTTAATGATGGCTCTTTCTCATGCTGTGGTTAAATCCCAGCCTTGTCGAGCCCTTGTAGAACCCCTAGAGTGTTTGCAGCCTGAGAAATGGGTAATATCGATCCTTAATGAGGTAAGGCCTAGGGCACAGCCCAAATATTAGCCAGCGTGGGATCCTGGCAGGCAGGTCATGTCTGATTGCTGCTGAGAAGCTGCTGGTCTTTCAAGGCTGCATCTCTGGGGATTAGACACTTGACTGCTGGTCTCCGGGGGAGAGGAGACTGAAGGGTTAAGCTCCTGCTAGGCCCAGCCCTGTGTTTCATGTGCCTGCACCCTCCTGGGTCCAGGAATAGCACCACTAGAAAGAATCTTAGCGATCAAGCAGTCCAGGCTTTCCCCAAAGACTCTCTTCAGAATCAGTCACTAGTTAAAAGGAAGAAAAGTTACATCCGGGAACATGGATTTGGTCAGGCATCCTTACCCGAGGTCCTCTCAGAACCTTTCACAAGCTTAGGTGCTATGTTTATGGGACTGCTAGCTCATGAAACACAAACTTTAGAAAATGCTCAGTTGGGAAAAGTGGGGCACAGCTGGTGGAAGGGACCAATCCCTCATTCCCACTCACCAAAGTTGTTCGGGTTCTTATCTGTACCATAGTGTGAGTTACTGATGTCTAAGAACACACAGATTTCTAGATGAGTCAAAATGGGCAGCCGAAGGGCTGAAGAACAATCATTTGGGTTGCTTTGTGCAAGTGGGCTTTTCTCATCCTGAAATGACGCCCAGGAGAGAGCTGGGAGCTGGGTACCCTGTCATGTGTGCTGAGGGGCTGGGACATGGGAGGAAGTGCGTGTACAGTAACATGAGCCCACACGTTGCCAGGTAGGACATGGCGTCCCCATTTCCTATGACTGGGGCCTCCGAGCCATCCTGTGTCCCGGCCCCTCTCCTCTCACCCCCCAACTTGGCAGGTCCTGGCCGTGCTGCCTCGCAATATAGTTCTTTGTGTTGTGGCCCCAGGACCAAGAGTCATGGTGTTTGTATTTGTTGTTTGTTCTTTTAATCTCCTACTGTGCCTACCATGGTGTTTCAAACATAACTAGTGCTGAGTAATTGCATGATGAATGAATGAGTGAATAATGTGCTCCTTTAATTAATCAAATATTCATAAATATGCATGTATGGATCAACAATTTAAAAATAATTAGACTATTACACCCACTAATGAAAAAATACTGAGAGCAACTTGGTATTTTGAAGATGCAAAAGGTATTTCAGGATTATCGAGACACTCGTGCTTAGTGATGTGAAGGCCCCTTATTCATAGAACAAGAGCTAGTTTTGATGGACAGGATGAGGGACAAATGCACTTCAACTGTTTTTATGTGTGTGACTGTGGGTGTTTATGGGTCTGCGTGAAGTGGGCAGGTTTCCAGGTATGATATGTATGCGTGTTCTGTTGTACAGGGGGTACATATGTATGGATGTGTGGGGATTAGGGTGTTTGTGGATGAACAGTGGGTTCTGTCCTATAGATTTGTGTGTGCAGAAATGTGAACAGCTGGGTTCATGGGAAAGGGTGCTGTTAAGTGTGAATCTAGTATGGGCATTTTGTGTGTATAGGCAGGGTGCATGTTTACATGGGGTGTAGGGGTGACTGTGTGAGATGACTTTGTGGGTGCATGTATGTGGTGTGTGTTGCTGAAATGTGCTGTGCGGTATCACATGGAACAGGGGATTTGGAACCAGTGCCGTCTCATGCTGTCTGTGTGGTCTCAGGGAAGTCACTTAACCTCTCTGACCTTTAGTTGCCTCACATGTCCAATTAGTTTTACACAAGGAGTAACTGAGATAGCACAGGTAAAAACAACACAAAACGCCCAGGACACTTCTTGGAACGGAGCAGACATTTGATGTATTGTCTTGCTCTTGCCTCGCTCTGCGTGTACGTGTGTTTGACGTGGTTCAGAACCAGTCTGGGGACTTCTTCTGGTCCTGCTGTACTTTCAGCTGCACTGTGGACCCCACGTGGCTGGGAAGTCCTGCCAGGAACCTCCCACGGCCCACGGGGCGGAAGCACTGCATCCCCAGCCTTTTCTCCATTCAGCACCAGGCTCGTGGTTGCTCTGTGGCGCCAATGTGAGCCAAGGGGACCACAGGAATGCAAGTGATGATTCACGACTTCTCTGCTGCTGTAACTTACTTCTCGAACCTCTCCAGGAGGGGCGGTGATGAAGCTTTCATAAGCTCCCATTCTCCGTCCAGCCCCTCCTCTCAGATAATAAGATTTGGAAACATCGAGCCCCCTCCCAGCAGTTACTAGAGCGCAAGCCATCTCTTGGCCCCAAGGCCTCTTTCATCAGCCTGAATCCTATTAGGTGGTGCAGTGAGAGCATGAATTCGCCCCGAATTATCCCTCACCATTTGCTATTAGCAAAATGTGCCATTTCATGCCTGAATCCTCCCCAAAGCTGCAGAGTCCTCTGGTTCTCCGAGCTCGCACGTCAGCGCCAGGCATTTGCCTTCTGGGCAACTGGCCGTTGACTCACTACAAAACCCGGCGGGGCAACCTGGAGTGGACGGTGGAGACTCTGAGAGGTTAAGTCATGGGTCTCGAGTCACACAGCGCTTTAATGACCGAAGGAATAAGAACACACATTTTAAGTGTTGACTCGCCCCATGCTACCGTCTAAGGGAAAGCCTTTTATAAATGGCTGAGAGCGTAAATCACGATAGCTGCTAATATTACTAATTGTTTTTGAAGCTTGTTATGTTCTGTTACATCCAAGAAAATCAAAACATCGGTCTGATTTCAGCAATTATGATGTACACAACTCTGAACGTATCACCTAAAGATGGAATAGTTGTAAATTACTGAAATAGTTGTGAATTACCGAAATAGTTGTGAATTACTGAATGACCCTCTGTTTTGCTGAGGGACTGACAGTTGAATTCTCTGAAACTCTGACAGTCTCTCTCCTATGTGCCAGGTACGAATGGCTTCTGAATTGCCTTGTGTCTTTGAAACTTACCCTTTTACAAAAGGGAGTTTTTTGTTCCACGACTCACAAATGACAAACCAGTGTGATGTGCCATCATAGAGATAATCATGATAGCGAATACAATGGAAAAAAAAACCTGAAGGAGAGTTTGAAATTTGGTGTAAATGCCATTGTTCCAGAGGAGGACCATCAAATGCTGGGAGGTGTGAGAGACATGTTAACCCCCGAGACTTTCTCCTTGAACTAATGAGAAGAACTGAAAGAGAATTGGCTCGATAATCCACTGTAAACTGGATGTGAACCACCTAAAATCATTTCTATCTCTTACTGCCCTAGTCCAATATTCCCCTATTATTCTTTTTTTGTGAAATACGAAGACTCCATTTTAATGTCAAAATAGCCACACCCCTCCTCTTGACAATTGTGCATGTCTGTGTATATTTAGATGTTTGGCAGAGAACTAGTTCAGGGCCCCCCGTGATACATCTCCGTGCCGGTGCAGAGCAGATAGGCACCGACAGGCCCTCGCTGCTCCGGTAGAAGCGCTGCCTCTGCTGAGAGCTAACATCTGCTCGTGGACCAGAGCTACTGGACAGAGGGGCCAGGGATGGAGCTGAAACACGGAACGTTCGGTTGTTAGGATTTACCGACCCTATACAAGTATTTGGAAATGATGCAGATTGTTTCAGGGATTATTGCAATGTCCTGCAGTGATCAGACTGGGTTTAGACAGATTTGATTAAAAGTAATTTTCAGAAAGATGTAAGGTCTCCTGGGACCAAGTGACCGCCCCTCGCAGAGCAGGCTTATGACGACAGCTGACTGGGTGAAGTGTGACAGTATCTGTCACCTCTTCATTAGGGGATCTGCCACACTAGGAGACTTTGGTACTTAAAGGACCTCAGTTTTGACTCCTCATGACAGAGACCTGGGAGAGCCCAGGCATGAGGTTCCACAGTGGGGGTGGAGGCAGGTGATGTGGTGAAGTGGGTGCCATGTGACCTTCTGTGGGTCACTTCCCGCTTTACTTTCAGTTTCCCCAGCTATAAAATGAGGGGCTTAGAATAATCTCTGAGAGCCCCTCTGGCCCGAATCATTTTGTTAGTCTGTAGTAGTCTTCCTTTTTCACTCATCTGGTCTCGGGGTTTGACTCCGTCTGGACCCCTATGAGGGGACGCGAGTGTGCTTGTGTCTCAGTCCTGCCCCTGCTGGTCTCCAGTTTCTCCCCAGGGGGCCACCTTGCTTTTTGGGGATTTGTTGACAGAAGGGCTGGATCAATACTCAGATTCTCATTCTCCAGTTGCAACGTCATTTGGAAATACGGAATCGATATGAATCTGTCCATCTGAATTTCAAATGAGCTGGGGTGGTGATGGCACCGGGGAGAAACAGTTTTAATCACACCCAGTTGCCTGGCACCCCGCCAAAAACCATGCTGGGTCAGCAGAGGGGGTCCCCCCTGAGATTCCATCATCTGAGTTCACCACGGCGAGAAGGGCGAGAAGTCGGGAGGAGGGAAAGAGAGGAAAGGCGCGGTGAAGGTGAAGGGGAGACAGAGCGGGAGGCGGAGGAGAACCAAGGGAGGGGACGTGGAGCGGGAGAGGAAGCTCGAGAAGGGAAGGGCCATGGGGGCGTGGGAGAGGAAGAGGCGAGTGTGAAGGCGGAGGGGTTCGAGGGCAGCCAGAGCTGCACCCGGGGATTCAGTGAGCACGGAGCACGGGAGCCGAGCTGCACTGGGTGCAAGAGCAGGGGTTTCCCAGAGGCTGGTGGAGAAAGTGGCTTTTTATGGTGAAACTTGCAGCCCGGGTGTGGAGTTGGCCTGGGAGAAATAGGGAGGAAGAGTGTTTTGGGTAGAAGGAACAGCATGTAGAGAGTCTAGAGGTGAGAGAGGACTTGGAGAACTGAAAGTTTAGTGTGTGTATGAGGGAGGGAAGGAGGGATAGAAGGGACAAATGAGAGACAAGCACAGGACACTGAGTCTGTGGGGTTGGA